CATTTTAAAAACTGAAACCCAATATGTAAATAAAACGAGCTTGATTGTTTTATTTTGGCTGGAAAAATCAAGTGCTTACAAGGGGATATACGGGATTATTAAAGATACACACCGAGTTCTGATGGAATGGCAGTGCGCTGAGTAAGACAGAACAGACACAACTCGACCTCAGCGGCACATTCCAGTGGACTCATGGGTATTCTCAGGAATCTCTCTGGCCAGCTGGCTGAGCTCAGGGACCTGTGCTGGGGGAGAACGCCATTGAATTAATGCATGTGAAAAATGGTTCACCAGATTTCTACATGCATTCAGATGTTTCATATCGCCCTGTCTGGATGCGCAGTACTCCCTCAGGCATTATATAATACTAGAAGAAAGTAAATATTTATGAAAAACAAACTGTTGTTAGTTTTAGCACTGACAATATCTAACATTTACTGGACCTGCAGTAAGTCTTCAGTTTTTACAAGTTTGTCAAACAAAGTTTTATCTAAGAACTACAGAAAACATTTTGATATTAAAATGATAAATCTACAGATTAGCAGATAAAAAGGAGTAAAGGAGGAAAACAAATATCCTTGACATATAGAGAGAAATGTTTTTTATTAGATTTTCTCACAACAGAAGTGCATACATTATTTGGTGTAATGACCTCATGCTGAAGGCACTTCTTGGAACATCTTTATTTGACATGCTTGATTTACTTTTCTCAATCAATGGCTATGAGCCGTGTCAATAGGTTTTCACAGAATCTACAACCCCATAATTCTGTGTAAAGTTTAGGGCTGCACACTTAATTGGAAAAATAATTGCAATTACGAATACTTAATCATGAAAAGTATTATATTTTTTTCACTTATGATACATATCACATTTATATTCACTTGTTGCATTTTAAATAAAAGTTTTGTTTTTCATATATTGTTAAGAGAACCAACAGCCACATAAACATTGCACAGTTCCTGAAAAAATATTGTTCTGTGAGTGAATAGTCAGAAATAATGATAATTATTGACACTGAGTGATAACCACAGCAATATGTTTTCATCTTGAGCCTGTGAGCAAGAATTATGGACGCAACAGTTTAACTTAGCTATTTTTGACCAAAGTAATAGGTTATTACTGACAAAAATGACATGCAATTTCCCAACACAAAAAGTATTTTAATATAAATTATATGAATTGACTTTAATAATCAAAATTACAATATCAAGGGAAATGATCATTTATGATTTTTTAGCAAAATTGTACAGCTCGACTTGATAGTCAGTGTTCATGCGAGAGAGAGAAAAGAGCAGGTAATTTTTTTGTGCTTCAAAGAAAAAATGCCAATATGAGCATTTGTAGATGATTTATTTTGTCATTTGCTGGCAAGTGCTTTAAAAATCTACTTGGCTCAAAAATCAGTTTGAATGGGTAGGATTTCTATTGTTTAAATGTATGTCATTAGAAGCAGTATGTCTAGGATAGTGAGTGTCCCCAGACTTATACTGTAAGTTATAACCAGCAGTGTTGGTTGCTCTTCTTGGAATCAGTGTATAAAAACACTTGTGTCATCTGCTGTCTGGAGACTTCTAAGCACTGGACAAGAGGAAATATCTTGGAAGTGCTCCAAATTTTAGAACTCTTTACCAGCTGAAAAATTCATAAAATTTCATGGTGAGATTGAGAACTTTGTGTCTCATAATAATGATACAGAAGCTTTAGTGAGAGACATTACATTCACTTGCTGACACCACTATCATACAAAACCCAAAGTGTCCAGCATACAGTTGTCCCTAAAATTAAGATCCCTGCTTGATTCGTTCTTCTCTTACCACATGTTACCGAACAGCTGCTGTGCAAAAAAAAAAAAAAAAAAAATCAAGCAAGGGGATGCAATGCATTTATCACAGTGGGCGCCATGGGAGGCCATCGTCTCTGCCAGAGACTGACACTAAACCGTCTTAATGTTCTCAGCAGAGTTTTCCTAACATTACATCAGTAGAACCCCATCATTATTTACTAACAAACAATGACTATAAAAATGGCACATAAACATGCTTATTTTCTAGCAAGTTGATATAAAAGGGGTTCAACGCCTCAAAGTGTATAATGCGCAAATGTGCAATACTTTAAGAAAATCAAGCTTAAATGACAATTCAACTGTGACAGGCCAGCTCCTGCCAACAGCTACAACAACTGTTTTTCAACACAGGCACAAATGATCAAATCACCACCTATCTGGCATTGTCTATTCAGTGTGCACACCACCATTACTCCAGAACAGGGATATTCAAACCTGTTACTAGATGGCAGTGTTGCCAACTGCTTTCAATTGAAAGTAGCTAAAACTGGTAGCTAAATGTCACTAGATGATATCATAATGACAAATTCACTGATCTATATAAAGATGAATGCAGATCAGTGGGCAAGATGAGAACGTAGATAAGGTTTGTCCAAGAAGTTGCTATATTTGTCCCTAAACCTTTGAAAAAAGTCTCAAAAGGGGCAGGGAAGTCGCTAAACCTAGCTACAAAGTAGCTAAATTGTCAACACTGCTAGAGGGCCAATGTCCTGCAAAGTTTAGTTTCAACACACCTGCCTGAAAGTTTCTAGTGAGCCTAAAGACCTTGATTAGCTGGACCAGGTGTGTTTAATTAGGGTTGGCTCTAAACTCAGGACAGTGCTCTCTAGGAACAGGTTTGCACACCCTTGCTTCAGAAATATGGCTACTCCATTCATAAAAAAACCATGGGACCGGAAACTAACATACACACTCTACCAAACACTAACGTAAATATTGCGTGGTTGCAGCTAACACAATAGCAAATTTAACAAATCTCTAACCCTAAGTATTAACTCTTTCGCCACCAGCTGCTTTTAAACAAACAAACAAACATACAAACAAACAACAACAACATTTTATTTTAGCTTCATGCATTCTTTTCTATAAACTCTTGAATGTGGGTAAGCTTCATTAACAAAACAAAAAAAAACATTTTGAACAAAAAGCTAAGAAAATCAAATTTTTGTCAATAATTATGTCTGGATTGGATTCAAAATGATGATCAAATCACAGATGGAATAGATGATTTCCATCAACACCCCTGAAGCTTGCACAGTCCTATACCATTTCACTTGGTAATGTTAAGCAATTTTGATTTATATGCTGTTTAATGTTTGATGATCACTTTATTTTACATATATATGCATCTGCTTACATATGCTTTTGCAACACGTTCTCACTCCCAACTCGTCACATATTGACACTTGGTCAGGACCCCTTGGCGTCACTTTTTGACGCTCAAGGTACCCCTTTAGCGTAATTTTTCGGCGTGCAGTGTCCTCCATTGTTTTCAGTTGTTTGTCTTAATTTAATGGTTTGCATGCATTTGTAAAAAATAGAAATAGTTTTATGAAAATGATCCAGCTCCGTTAACGCGCTCACATCTCATTCAAATAGATACTCCCGTCCCGTAGCATGACGCAATCGGTCACGAGACACACGAGCCAATAGCATTTCACAACCAACGCGGACGTATGGCTTCTTCTGGCGGCATTTTTTGAATTTGCGTACAGACTGCAGCACACAGGATGAGCTTTACAGCGGACGGAGATGGCAATCGTGTCTGTTCCGCTCACAAATCAATCACTTTGCCTCAGAAGACTTGGAATATTAATACTTTTTGAATAAATTATAACTGTAGTTGTATCTGCCTGTTATATCCTGTGTTTTATTGACAAATGGTAGGTAGACAAATGGTGGGTTACGTGCTCATAAATGTGTAAATAGTGTAATAAAACTGTTGTAACTGTTTACATTGAAAATCACACCATATAATCAAATAATATAATTTAATCATGACGATAAAATTCCCAGTGCCTTTCGCGTAGGCATATTGAAGCCAAGGGTTTCTTATTTAAAGCAATGGAGGACCCTGCACATCGAAAAATGACGCTAAAGGGGTACCCTGTGCGTCAAAAAGTGACGCCAAGGGGTCCTGACCAAGCATCAATATGTGACGAGTTGGGAGTGAGAACATGTTGACTGCTGCTTGTTTCTGCTTCTTCTTCACCTGTGTTTGATCCAGAGATTCAGTACTCTTTCAGAAGATGTGTAATAGTGCCCCCTATTGTGTGACAGTAAAAACACATAAAGCCAGAAAATTCTCAATGACAGGGAAAGAGTTAAACTTCACTGGCTAGTTGTCCTGTGCTGTTTGTACCCTAAACTTGAATAATTCTTCAAATTGCGCAGCTTGTTGAGGAGAGTATTGCTTTCAGTTGTAGTAATTAGACTTAAGATTAATGGCATATCAAAGAGTAAAACATCATTGAGACCTGGGTGGGCTTTTTTTACTTTAATAATTTAATCAACTGCCCTATCAAACACCAGTAACACTCTAGTAACTACTAAGGTGACCATATGTCCTCTTTTTCCCGGACACGTCCTGGCCAGGATTATGCTTTCAAATTGCTCCCGTGGTACTTTGATGCAATACACCAGTTGGTCTGCGCAGCGCTGCTTCAATTTGAACACACTATCTATATGTATTTGCATTGCTTTGACCGTTCTCTGTAGATCCCACCTTCTCACGTGCGACGATTGAACGATTGGTCAATTATGTACAATTCCTGCATGTTATTGGTCAAACTCTTTTTTGATCATCATCTTCAGCAAGTATGAAAACAGGAAAACAAAGCCAAAACCTGGATATTTTAGGCAATGTAGAAATCCTGGCCAGGACGTGTCCGGGAAGAAGAGGACATATGGTCACCCTAGTAACTACTCCGAACATCCTTATATCCTTACATGCATCCCTCAGAATACCATAGAAACTGCATAGCAAAACTCGACAACAACCCAGCTGCATAGGTGCATCTTTGCCCGCAAAGCGCCACCACTTCGAGGAATCGTCCGCATCTCCCATCCAAAGCCTGTAAGCTGTAAAGCTCAGCTCTAGCTATCAAGGTTTACAGTGCTGCGGGCCAGGCCGCCTCTACCCTGCATGCCATGGTCATCCTGCAGGTACATCAGGCCAAGGCACTAAAAAACTGTGCAAGGGGTGCAGTTGACTTGGTGACTTGGGGGTGATGCAGGAACTACGTACAGCGATGACTTTGCTCTCAGAGCAACAAAGGTCATTGCGTGGGCCCTTGGTCAGGTGATGTCTACAATGGTAGTCCAGGAACGCCATCTCTGGGTGAACCTGGCTGAGATGTGGGATGCCGACAAAGTTAATTTTCTTGATGCCCCCATCTCCCAGGCTGGCCTCATTGGCAAAACTGTCAATATTGTCATATTGCCTTGCCGTGATTCTGTTTCCAACAAGCCTCCGAGTTCGCTTCCTTTCCACCAGCCCACCAGGTGCTCTCTTTTACAATGTGCCAAGAGGTCACAATTGTAGGACGCTAATTGGAGAACCAGGTAGGATTTGCACTACACTCTCTGCCTCTACTCCAGGAAGCATCGCCCTTCATCCTCTTGGTGAAGGATGCAATGGAGCCTGGTTCTCCAGTCGAGATGAAGTCTGGGATTTACAGCCCATATCCAAGAAAAACGGTGGGCTATGACTCAGATTCAGTCATAACCCACCGCTTCGATCTGCGCATCTTGAATAGGGCCTTGCACAAGCTCCAATTCAAGATGCTGATGCAGAAACGCATTCTTTCATGCATTCAGCCCCATGATTGGTTTGCAGCAACCGACCTGATGGACGCATACTTTCATGTCTCGATTTTGCTTCGACACAGACCATTTGTTCGGTTTGCTTTCAAGGGTTGAGCGCATAAGTACAAGGTCCTCCCCTTCGAGCCGTTGGACTCGGTCAATATGATGGCACGACTTATGAACAATCGTGCCCAGTCAGTGCTGGCCTGCCTGAATTAATTCGGGGGGAAGACAGTGGTCCCACTCAAACAATTTCTGAAACAACGTTTTATTGGTGTCGTGATTTCCTCCTGCAAGAGAAGTTGGAGCGGAGGCTGTCCCTCATCACCACATCACCTCTTGGGATCTCTCTGTGATCCTTGCTGGACTACAGAGAGCTCCCTTTGTGCCCCTTGAGTCAGTTGAGCTTAATATCCTGTACCTTAAGACAGCACTCCTGACTGTGCTCACTTCCATCAAGAGGGTGGGGGACCTGCAGGCATTTTCGGTCGACAAAACGTGTCTTGAGTTCGGGCTAGCTGATTCTCTCGTAATCCTGAGACCCCGATCGGGATATGTGCCCAAAATTCCCACCACTCCTTTTCAGGATCAGATGGTAAACTTGCAAGCACTTCCCTTGGAGGAGGCAGGCCCAGCCCTTGCATTGCTGTGTCACGCGTTTACGTGGAAGCGCTTGGAGCTTTAGCTTGGGTAATTCATTTTTCCACGGTTGGTTTCCCCTTTCTCGGGAACCCGTGTCTTTCCTTGGACAGTTCCTCTGTCTGTTCTCCAACCTATGGCGCTTTCCATAAGGACCCAATAATGTCAGTGTTGACGTAACATTGAACGTGACTGACTGAAAGGGAATGTATGTAACCCTCATTCCCTAGAGGAGGGAACAGAGACATTATGTCCCTCATGCCACAACCTTGAACTACCGCTTGACTGGCTGGGACCCATTCTTGGCTCCTCAAGCACAAATCTGAATGATTGGATGCATGCCGCCATCTTATGTACCTGTATGTTAGGGGAATGGCTTGCCATGCAAATTCAACTTGCCAATTCTCATTGGCCATTTTTCATACTTCTCAGAGATTATTGGGCTCCCAAGAGAGACCCCATAATGTCAGTGTCGATGTAATGTCTCTGTTCCCTCCTTTAGGGAATGAGGGTTACATACGTATTCGAGACGCTTTCAAAATGCTGTAATTTTATTGCAATTGTAGATCTCACACAAATGTTGTGAACAATGACAACAAAGCAGACAGCTACACAGAACAGAAGTCACAAGAGCTTGACCAAAGCTTTCCGCCGTTGTTGCATATAAAGGCACAAGGGAAACAGGATCTTTACTTGGCAGGCGGCCACAGTGTTTTAATCCTCTCTTTGACAACACATTACCAGACATACAAACACACTCTCTCTCACCGCCTGACCACTGAGAGTAAGACATGGCCCTCTGGTATTGTGTGACAAGCCACCATATGTGAGCATACATTGACAAAAATAGGATTAAGTCACCCAGAGGGTCATATGCCATTCAGAGTGAAGAATTGCTTGCTTGCTAGGCAGGGATTAAAGATACCCTTTGAGGCTTGGAGAATAAGAGGCATGCTGCAATGCCTTAGAGTTTTGCCCAAGAGGACTGACATAATTATAATAATAGAATTAAAGGAATAGTTTATCCAACAATAAACATTTTGTCATCATTTACTCCCCCTCATTTGTTATTTTTTCCAAGTTATTTGACAGAATATCCAAGCTGCTCTTTTACATATAATGTAAGTGGATGGTGACCAAGACTTTCAATGGCCCAAAAGAAGTTTGAGGGACTTGTGTGGTCTATTTCAATCTTTTAAAGCCTAATTTAAAGTCAGTATGAAAAGAAAATTCACCCTATTTGTTTTCTAAATGCATGTCATAGACAATGCATGTCATCTTGTGAACAGTTCACTCATCATGTATATGTTTCATTTCTCTCTCTCTCTCTCTCTTTCTCTCTGACATCATAATTTTTAATAAAAATATGAAAACAACTGACTTCTTTCTGACAAATGGAGGATTTCTCCAATCAATTAGTCTGCTAAGCCTCGCTCCTGCAAGCTCATGTTCATCCATTTTTGATTCATTGTCATGTGCATGCCAGGCTCCACTGCAAATAGCTGTCACTCATCAGTGCACCAGTTCACTCCACTATAAAGATCACACTCACCTTTCATTCAGTGTCTGGCCTCATTTGGAATGCAGGCTCATTTGCCCGAATCCTAGTCTTCTCATTCGATTCTCCAGTGATCTCCTGTTATCTCTAGTCTCTTTTCATACAAATCTCTAAGGATCTCCAGCGTCTTCTCCTATGACTCTCCAACAATCTCCAGCATCTTCTTCTTTGTAAATATCCCTGTCTAATACTTACCTGTGTTCCCTCTATGGCCTCCACTACTCCTGTTATCCTCTCCAGTCATCGTCTGCACTTACAAGTATTCGAGTTAGAAGTTTGTCTTCTTCATTGAATTTTAACTGAATCTGCATTACTCATCTGTTTTTTTCAGTGTATTCAATAAACTGCTGTGGTTCACTTACCTCCATGAGTCTGCACTATCTTTACAATCATATTAGTGAAATAAATGTATGTATTAAAATGTAATGCCATCATTACAAATGTGTAATTACACATACTTTAATACATTACATATAAGTTAATATATAACTTCAACAGAAGTTACATATTAGTTACTATAAATGCTTGTCAGTACATTCTGCAGATTACATATAAAGATGTACCGGTACTTAGGTTCAGGCAATATTCCAGGGCCCTCATTTATCAACAGTGCGTAGAAAAGGTTCTATATTTTGTCCTACGAATGAAATTTAGAATGTGCCTAAGTAGGCCTACAAGAAAATCCGTATTTATCAAACGTGCGCAAGCAGTTCTTGCGCACATGAGTAAGCAATCATTGTTGATAAATCCCACATGTGCGTAAGTAACATGCTCGTTCACGTTCACGGACATTTGCATTCGGAAATGTCTCCAGTGAACCATATATGGTGACAACACCTCCCTTTATAAATCACGTGAATGTATGTGTCCTCACCGAAATCATGGCAAAGAAAGCGGTACCGACTGAGAAGCCATTCTGTGCTCTCACTCTCAGAAAACGCGTTCTATGCGGAGCGCATTGTTTACCAAGTCTTCCAATAACGCAAGATAAGCCATTGCACTGAGACAAACATTTGTCACAGCTGTATTTTATAGGGTTTGACACCAATTACGCAAATTGTCTGTTTGAAACCAGACAAATGATAAATTGAGTGTTTTATAATTAAAGGAAACACAGGACATATGTGGATTGCTTAATGCATACTGTGACACTCTTAAATGCTTTTTATGTGTAGTGTCGCTATTCTACCACTAGATTCTCTGCGTAAGCATGCTCAGAGGTGTGCTTATATTTACACACATTTCTACGTATAAGTACAAGTTGGTAGATCCCACACTTTGCGTGAAACGGTTCTTACGCCCTCATTACGCACACATCTGTGCGTACGCACTGTTGAGAAATGAGGCCCCTGGAGTTAAAAACCACTAATTTAACTAATTGTAACTAATTGTATTTATTATAAATTCCACTGCTATCACTTTAATTCCAATACTATGGTAATAATAGCCTACTAGCATTATTAATAATAATTTTCTTAAGAGTCTGGGAATTGTACTTTCTGTGGTATGAATTCAGTTGAGAGTTCTTGACTTTTACTTGGCACAGGCTCGGCTGTGGCCTTGAATGCCAGCATACTCCAGCGCCTCTGGAAAACTCTACTGTGGGTTTCCGTGCCTCAAGTCAAATCTGAATCTGAATGGATCTCTACATCCCCTCTACATACAGAAGCTGTTTGTCTCAAACTTTGCCTGAACCAGATGTACTGTAACTGAAAGTAGGTTTAATCTGAACTATGCAGCCACAAAAACACAGTTTCATCCATGTATTTACTTTCCTTAATGGATCCCTGTAACTGACCCAGAGACGTTTATTTGCAAAGCTGATTGTGGAAACAGGAATGCATTCCTTGCAGACATCAATATTTGCTTTTTGATTATCCCCTTTTTGATAGCTGGAGCGAGGCGGCGTGTGAAGTTGCAGGATGTTGGGAAAAAGAAAAGCTGTTCACTGTTACAGCATTAAAATCACAGACGTGGTGCAGAAGGTAATGCTGTTGCTCACAAATTATGAGCTGTTGGATCACAAGGACCAAGTCTGAATCCAACCCGTGTCCTTCCCCTATCCATACCCACACTTTACTTTCTCCTTGTACAGTTCTGTTTCTGATGGCTAAAATTATAATAATAATAATGAAAAAAAAATATTGTCCTTTAGTATGTCTTTCATTGCACTAATCCTTTACCCAACCATCAATTGTTTATGGAGCGAAGGCGAAGCACATGACATGCAAAAAAATATTGTGGCCACAATTAAGAATTTGTTCTCACATGTATTAATTCATGGTCATGTTTAATTAATTCGTTCGTAGTAATGATTTGACTAAAATGAGGGAACTAATTTTTAATTCATGGCCACTGTCTTGTATTTTTTCCCTCACATGTCATGTGCGGAGCTTTGCAATTGTTTGCAAAGATAAAAATTTATTGATTTTGAAATAAATGAATACATTTCCTTCAAAATGTCCCACCCACACTTCCTGTTTCAACAGTAAATGCATCAACTCATG